ATATTGCCATATGGCACTGAACAGCTATAAATACTTACTCAGTATTAAGGAAAATAATGTTTGAAAGAGATAATATTAATTTTTGAATACACTTGTTATAATTATAATTACATTGAATAAAAGAGTTAATAACAATTGTCAGTAGGTCTATGATGGTTTCATTTTAAATATTATTGAAGTGTGAACTTCTGCTAAAGATGATATAATTTTTTTTTGGTCTGGTTAGGTTGGTAGTGTTTGGTAATTTGTTTGATTTCTATTTAATACCTGTGAGAAGTGAGATGTTGGTGATATTACATTGTGGTTTTCAAATTGAGTTATATAATTGGGTTAAGGATTCAGTTGATACCTTGATCCAGTTGGTGGTATCTATTGTAGAGAAGATTTTATCAGTTATACCATATGACAGTTCTATGACTTGTTATATGTAAGAAATCGGTTTAAGATTATTATCTGGATGGAAAATTTGATTAATGTTGTTTATGATCTGGTTGGCCTCTTCTGAGGCTTCAGGATACTTGAAGATATACTAGATGTCTTCCATACAAAGTTCGCATTTTGGACAGTACCCATTTGGATATTAGTCAAGGTAATATTGGTGAAATATTTGATGAGTTGGAGGTGTTTCTGAGAGAAGTTTGATTCTAAATGCTATTAGATTGCTATAGCTATTGTTGTGTACTTTTTTGATATTTTTATTGAATTAATTGAGGATTTTTAAACCATATGGGGTGTAATGCCATTTAAAGATTTGAAGAACTGAGATGTTTTCACAGATTATATAATTTTTGATAATACTAAAAATTTTTTTACACCATTTGACACTGCTGCCTAAACACATGTTGTTGATTAGAGGGCTCTCTGAGAAGTGTGATAGATAGTTGCTCCATTGGATATTTTTGTTTGTAAATAGTCTGGACTAAGGATCCTAACAATTCTCTTTGATTCTGTATTCAATTCTCAAGTTATATTAAATTTAATAGATGGGATATATTTCACTATTATTTTTAATAGTGTTCCGAACCTTATGCAATTTTCTGTGATTCTATTCAATTTTGATTTTTAGAACCATAGTTTGAACTTAGGTTTGATATATATAACTTTTATTGATTTCTGTTTCAGGATTTGATTTATTATCTGGATTAAAGAAGAAAAGTTAATTTTAACTATTCTTCTCAAATGAGTTAATACTAATTGAAGGATTTTTTTGTTATTTCTAATTTCAATAGTGTTGCACTGAGAGTTTCACTAAATGATATTAAGTATTGCTAGTAGGATATTGCTGAGAGCTATACAGATACTGGAGAGTTTTACCTTGCACTCATTGATAACTAAATAGCTTTTGTGAAATTGGTATAATAGTATTGATAATGTCCTACTTCTTGAAGTAATACTTTGAGAGATGGATTGTTATTGATATTAATTGATTGAAGAGTTTGTTCACTTCCATATAATATATTGATGGTTTTATCAATAATGTTGAATAGTCAATATTTGTTAGTATTGAATGGATTAAGGGGTACTCATAAAGTTAATGCTGTTGAGCTTGTGAATGTTATCTAACAAAAGCCATGGAATTGTGTATTAACTGGGCATCCCGGACATCTGAAAAGATTATTAATTGAATCTATTATAAAATTCTTTTTCTTAAGCATCATTCCTTCTTGTACTGATAATTGTCTCTTGTAAATCGCAACTATTGTATTCAAATCATGTACAAGCCAAAATGTTGCTCTGGTATTTGATATTGGACTATGTAATCCTATGGTCTGGCTAATATTATTATTTTAATATTATAAACAAGTATAAAATAATTTAGTTAATTAAAGCCATCTGTGTACTTAAGAGAACAAGTGCAAAAAGAATCCAGTCTTGATTAAAAAGTTCTTGTTTTTTCTACAAAATTTAACTAAACTAGAAAAATTATTTAATTATAATTTCAGTAGCAGATTTGAATTAACTTCTAGGCCATCTAAACTAATAGATTGCTCTGAAGAATTGTGTGATAAAACAAATATAATAAGAAAATTTTTATATTATAAACTACCTTTTTTTACAATTAATCTTTTTGTATTATTTCCTTCTCTAAAAAATAAATACACTATCTTCCAAAAAGAATACAACACCTGATCATTAATCTTTAAGTATTAAAATTTTGATTAGATCAGATCAAATCATAGTGAAATTAACAATATATACAGTGTATAGTTTAATCTATTCAGTGTATATGATAGAATAGTGATTAAAATAATAAAAAAAAATTTATGATGCAATTAATAAAAATTTACTATTGCATAACTTTTGATATTTTGGAGGTAAAAATATAAAAATGCAAAAATTTACTCCAACCTTATATAAATCAAATATTCTCAAGACAGTTATCTATATAAAAGAGAGCAAATACTATTGTCTTATTAGAAGAAGATTATAGTTTATGTCAGGTTGTTGTCAAAATTAGTAACAATGTTCATTATTTCACTATATCTAGACTTTAAAAAAAAATTTTGAAACAAACAAATTAGTAAATAAACCTATTTCTGGTCATTTACCTAAGCTTACTCTATATGAGAAATTTATTATCATCCAAAAAAATCTAAAAAGAGAATGCAAAACAGCCATGGATATATATAGATCCTTGAAAAAAATATGAAAAAATAAATATTAATATCAATACAATACAAAGAATTCTTAAGAAAAATGAATTTAAAGCTTATACATAGTGCAAGAAGTCTTTTTTAAGTAAAACACAAAAAAATCTGATTAGAATTTGTAAAATTACATAGAAATTAAATTATAGAAGATTGGAGTATGATGATCTGGTTTGATGAAACTAAATTTTTACTTTTTGAAGCTGAAAGATGCAAATATTGCTAAAGAAAATCTATAGAATCTTTAAAGGATTATTAACATATAATTCCTACAACTAAATTTAATAAAGATAATATTAATATTTAGAGATGTTTTACTTATTATGGCACAAAATATTTATCTAGGATTGAAGGAAATCTTAATGTGGAACTTTATAGACAAATTTTGAAAAAATAATTAATGTATTCATTAAGATATTATATTTCAACATGATAATGATTCTAAACATAAGGCTAAAATAGTTTAAAGATGGTTAAAAAATAATAAAATTAGAACTGTTTCTTGGCTATCAAAATCTTCAGATTTAAATCCAATAGAAAACATCTGGAATAATGTAAAAAGAAGAGTTAATGATTTAGAGATTAATATTAATGATAAAAAAACTCTTTGGAATAATTTATTGAAGATTTGAAATAAAACATCTGAAAAAATTTGTAAGAAATATATAAAAACAATGCCTAAAAGAATTAATGATATTATTAAGACAAAAAGTGGTTATATAAGATAGTATTAGAAATCAAATATATTTTTATAATTATATGTATGTATTTTTTATAAATAAATAAATTTTTTATTGTTTTTTAAAAACTCCAAAAATATTGCAATAGTAAATTTTTTATTTTAATTGATACATTATTTAAGCATACTTATATTCTATCTATAGTATAAATTTCATTATAATCTGATTTATCCTACTTAAAATTTTAACATTTAAAGATCGCCGATCAGATGTTGCGTTCTTTTTGGGAGACGATGTATACGGATGATGGACTTTGTTGATCATGATCGGTCAAGCTCTCTTCATCAGCCCAAAATTGCAATGCGTTTACTAAATCACCACCATATAACCTTTTTGCAAGATCAAAAATGCAATATTGAAGGTTCTTACGTCGAACAGGTGTTGTACTCAATGGCAGTAAAATTTTTAATTTCTTGTTTTGGGTTTAATGTTGAGGAGGTTTCCGTGTTGTGCCTGTTTTGTAATAATTGTTGTTGATCGACATAACGGCATTAATGGTTTGCCGCAAGTATAAGAGTAAACAGATATTTTTATTGTAATAATCTAAATACCAGTGAAAATTCGCAAATATTTTCAGATGGTCCAGCCGAAACACATCGCGTCATCTCCAAATCTTTATCATCTAAACTCCATGTAGTACACAATATCCGTCCGTGATGACCATGAAATGCAGACATGGAAACGCCTTTCCCTAAATTCCGTATCTTATGTATATTGAAATAAAAATTTTGATAAAAAAGACCACTTTGTCACCTATGCTACGACTCAAATCAGATACGTACAATAGCCATCCCATCAGAAGTTAAAATTGTTACTATCTATCGGGCACTATGACAAGTCGGTTACGCCTTTCTCATGCATTTCAAGAACTTTTTTGCATGATGACAAGCTATAACGTAAGAATATATGTTGACAATTATTGATTCACATAAAATCACTAAAATTATCCATTTTGTTCGTTTTATCGGTTGACATCAAATTTTCTGAATTTGAAAATTCATGAATCATGATCTTATAATTATCAGAACCGGACTCAAGCAAAAAGAATTTCCAGTTTCATCTGGTGAAAGAGAATAATTTATAAAAGAGCACATTGATTATATAAATGGTTAAGGAAAAAAACAAAGAAAGATTTTTAAATATGCGAACCTAGAGAGCACCAATTCAGTTTACAGAATCAAGGATAACGTAGGTAAAAGAAGCGCCATAAAAATTATAGATATAAAAGGTATTCTGAGATCTGTAAGTCGTAAATAAGATCAATGTGAGTTATAGTGATTATAGAGCGAGTTCTTATTAATTTAATTACAAATAAAGAATTTTAATTAAATATAATTTTATCTAGAAAATTTGTCCACTGCTTCGATTTATTTTTTTTTTTGGTCGGTCAATTAACTAATTCTCGGTTATATGTTAAAAAATATATACAGTATATTAATAAAATTGTAATCTTCACATAAAAAATACACGTTTGGCATATATGTAATATTTTATTTGAAACAATAAATACCCCCTTTCGAGTTCCTCTTTAATGCTGTTTTGGTCAATAACTTTTATCTTGACGAGGCGTGAATGTATTTGTCAGGTCAAAAATAGTACATTTGGTTAATACAAGTTCCCATACTACTATCTCCACCTACGAAAACAGTGTTTTTTTCGGCTTCGAGTTCGTCTTTTTCCACCTACGAAATATGCAGAGCATATTTTTTCGGTTTCCACCAGTAATCCACCTACGAAACATGTTTGTACATGTTTTTCGGCTTCTCCACCTACGAAACATGCGTTACGCATATTTTTTCGGTTTCCTGGCAACCGCCCCGATCCACCTATTGAAACATAGAAATGTTTCTCGGCTTCTCAACACCGACTAAATGCCAAAAGCACTACTCAGTTTTACCCGCCTACCGAAACACGAAGAGTATTTCTCGGCTTCGCGGAAGGGAAAAATTGCATTATGCCAAAGTACTAAAATGATAAGAAAAATAGATGTAAACTGAGATGATGATCTAACCGTTTACTTAAAGTTGGATAATTTTAGATGCACCAATCAGATTTCTTCTAATAGTCACCTGAGATCTTGTATAAAATTACGCGCCTTGAATTATCGCGTTCGATCATCGACGTTACGCGCAATATTTGATACAATGGCTAAACTATCAAAGTGGCTCAAAGGAAATCTCAAGGATAACGTTAAGGAAACATTTGAAGCGACTATCGAACATCTGCTTAAGTTAAAACCTCCCGTAAAAAAGGGCAATAAAAGACAGGCCTTGATGTCTTCATTACAAGCTTTGATGAAAAATGACGAATCCGTACGTGAAGAATACGAATCTCTAAATGCGTGGGTTAACGTTAATAATTCTGAGAAAGAGAAGAAGGAGAAAAATTTAAAGATTGTTGATAAAGAACACCAGGCTATGTTCAAAAAAGCTCGTGTTGTTCAGTACAATATCTCTTATGGAGCAGGTTCCGCACAAACGCAAAATTCAAACAATATCGTGAGGGAACATGAAGTTTCTACAAACATTAAAGAAGCTCAGGAAATAAATCCACTAAATGGACAGAAAGTAAAAGAAGAGATAAATGGGCAGAAAGTAAAAGAAGAGAAAGTAAAAGAAGAGGACAACTTATTATCACGAATTCCGCATGAGTTTTCATTCTCGGCATCCAAACAAGGTTCTTATGTGGAACCAATTTTAGAGCATGTCGAGAAAGCGCTTTTCAGATTTGTTGTAAAGAATCAGGACTACATTCCTTCTGACACAGTAAAAGAATTCGCGCTTAAATGCAACCCCCCGCGAAATATTGATTTTTCGGATGCAGACATATTGTGTCTTTTAAACTTCATTACGAAACATATTTCCTTGTTTATGATTCCACATTCCGACAAAACGCTGTTTTATGGAGAATATAAATCAAAACCTTTAGAAGTTCTTCAATCTTTTGAAATCGAGGCGAGGAACCGCCATGCGCACCTTATAACAAAATCCAAAGGAAAATGGAACGATGAAAAATTACAATGGCTCTCAACCTTAGCATTAGAGTTGGTCGATTGTCTTGGTAAGTTTTATAATAGATATCATTTATACAGATTTTAAATATTTATGTGTTATCTATTGAAATATAATAGGGGACGAGGATGCATTTAAGTCGTTGTTGGTGATAAAACGGAATCTGAGTTCTGAACTCACGGAACAAAATGAAGAGAAGACACGAAAACAATGAGGATGAAATCCAAGAGAGAAAGAGGCAAATGACCGATGAAGAACTCGGAGAGTTAATTGATTTCGCTCTAAACATAGTAAATAAACTTGAGTCAGAAAATAAAGAACATTTAAATCAAATTGTGCGACTTGCGGTAGATAAAAACGATGCATTTATGAATATTTGGCGAGCTTTAGATACCTCAAAAGATGAAAGTGCGAAAATTCGAAAGTTCATTTCTTTAATGAATATCCGCTTTAATATGGTAAATATTTCAAACATATATTGAATGCTCGGTATGATATACAACAGTTTAACTGATTGCACATTTTATGTCTAACAGAATCTAAAGAACAAGATTGGAACAATTTAAGTTTTTTTCTATACGGTATATTAACGTGGTGGGGACGTTGGCAATATAAATTTCTATATCAGTCTTGGTTAGAATTTAGTTATACATTATGAATTGACTATAAGTCGAAAATTCTGGATGCTTGATCAATGAAACTTTTGATTTTTTGTTTTCTTTTGGGGATGACAATTTCTGGGTTTTCATCGTACCATACCTCAAGCAGGAAGATTCCATTATCTTGACACATGCATCTTTTTTGCCGATCACGATTAACGATGTCTTCGAGTTTCTTAACATCCTTACACCAGCTAGTGCTATGAAAACGATGCTGAGCCCCTTGCAATTTGATGATTTTAGAAGAAAGCATCAAGCTCTGATCCATTCAAGAAAGAAGGGCGATATTCGATCATAGGTTCATCATTAAGAATTTCCTTAGCCATCTGGATGCATCTAGTCTGGAATTTGCGATTTTTCTAGATTCTCTTTCTGCCTGATCCTGCTCTCAAGCTCTGTCTCAATGCTTCAAGCCTAGCCTTCTCATAAATAATATTTTTATACACGAAAGAATTATTCAATATTACGTGAAAAATGTAAAACCATTTTATTAATATACAGTGTGGCAAAAAATCCGCAAAATTTTTTATTATAATTGAAATTTTTACAATTATTAAATAAGTATTTATTTAAAAATATTAAAAAATTTATATTTTAAAAGATATAAATTTAATTAAACTTTTTAATTAAAAAAATTATATTATATTAATATTAATATTTTTTCTTTAAAAAATTATTTAATTTATTAATCTGTTCTTTTATTTTACTTTTTAAAATCTTTATTCAATAAGCAAAAACTATATAAAAATAAATATATATACTTTTTTTTAAACAGAAATTAGACAGAAGTTAAAAAGTACAATATAAAATTTTTGATAAAAATTAAAATATCAAATTAAATAATAAAATAATTAAAAGTAATTTTAAATAACATTATTTTATAGATGTTAATTTAATTATTTTTAAAATTATTTTTCTTTTTTAAATAATTTTTGTTAAGTTACAAATAAAAATATAATTGCAACACACTTTATATAAAAATAAATACAATTGTTTGGGATATAGTCCACAATACATGACAAATTTTCTATATTAAAACTATTTATCTGACTTTCCAGTAAGATTGCTTAATAAACTATATTTTTTTTTATCCTTTCTTCACTTTGAAAATCAGAATCCAGCTTCTGTACCTTCTTATACAATATGATTGATAACCTATCCCACCTTAGCTTGCAAATTTTTATTATTATATACAATGGTAACCAGTTTTAATAACTTAAATGATGGCTTTCCCTCATTATATAAACATTCCATAAAATACTATTCTTTTACATCTGTAATAATTCCAAAAGTCTTTTTCACAAAAATATCTTTTTTCATTTTACTTGCTTTATACTTATGATTTAATAAAGCTTATTCAAGTTGCATGGCATTCTAAGCAATACCCTTGTAAAAATCCCCATCCTTTACTTTTATTATACCAATCATTTTATAGTTTGAAGTAAGTTTATTGCAAAATTGAATAGGCCATATCCATTGGATCCTGTGATATTTTTTTCTGATCAAAGTTCGAACTTGTTCTCATATAGATTTATCCCAATAACAAGATAGATACAAATATATAGTGATTTTGATGCTTCGTTCCTACTGATTGAAATGAACTGGAAATGAACCTCTAGCTTGATTATAAGATTTCGAAATATTATCTGAGAAAAATTATTTTCCAAGTCTTTATACTCACAAGTAAAAGATGGAAATAATAACAATGATAGGTTATTTGATTTACAGGATTCATAAAGCTAATACATTTTTGGGAAAGACCAATCTGAAAAAGCTTTAAAGAGTGTTTCTATAAACACAGTAAACTTGAGATTGTTCTTTAATACAAATATATGAAGTATCTCATAAAGGTCTTAATTATTATGAGGGAAGTATTTCTCTTTATTATTTATTAAGTTAAGTTCTGTTCTATCATTTCAAATGTGGATGGTTGAAATATCTTATACTATATACTGTATATAATCTTTGAAACCTTTGAAAATCATATATTTGATATTTGCAGTTTATTTATTTACCTTCTATTTTGGGTAGATGATAATGACAAAGTCTACAATGCAATGGCAGAGTTAAAACTTCTTTTTCTAAATATAATCTGATCATTTCCTAAGGAAATAGTTTTTTGTCAAAAATTTTTATATATGTACAGTCACCTTAAAAAGTAAGGTCTGATTTACGTATAAAAAGATAAAGTAAATTAAAACATAATATTCTTCCTCTTTTATTATTTTTCACACCTATTCTTTTTTATTGTTTATTTTTTTGACTCCTTAAATATGATGTTTAAAAATTTTCTAAAAAAATAATATCCACTTGTATCCAACTAACTGATGAAGATAAAGAAAAAATACTGGGTTTGAGTGAATACTTTAATGCTGAAAAAATAGCATTAAGCATGAAGTATAATTCCATTACAATATGACAGTTTCTTTACAAGTATAAAGAAACTGAAAAAATAGAAAATCACCTATAGTCTGAATGACTACAAGTTCTAAAAAAAGAAGAAAAAGAAGTACTTGTACAAAAAGCTATCACAACATGACATAAAATCTTATATGAAATTTTAGAAAACCTAAAACTTATATATAGTTTATCAACTGCCAGAAATATATTTCATAGTGTTGAAATCTATTTATATATAACCATCAAGAAATCTTATATTTCAGAAAGTTACGCAAAGGCATGTATTAGCTAGTATAAGAAAAATCAAGAAAATCAGATCTATAATTGATAGTGAATTATTTTCTCTAATAAAACTAGTATAGAAATTGACAAATAATTAAGACAAATATATATTTGATGACATATAGGAGAAAGATATAATCTAGATTGTTTAACACCTATTTTTAAAAATGAATGCTATTTAGTTATAGTTTGGAGATGCTTTATAAAAGAAGTTAAAGAATCATTAGTTTTTTGTAATCATTTTAAAAAAACAAAGAAAGAATCAATTCAAATACTTATTTTCAAATCTTAAAAACTTAATTTTTACCATTTCATTATGGGATGTATCAATTAATAAGAGTAATCCTATTTTTCAACAAGATAATATATCTATTTATACTGTACAAATCATCTCAAATTGATTTAAAACAAACAAAATTAAAATAAACGATTGGCTGACAAATTTACCTGACCTAAATTATAAAAGTCTTGAATAAATTATTAATAATTTAAAAAGACAGTAAACTTGAGTGATTGTAATTTTAATGCCAATAGAATTGTGACTTTATTAAGATCAAAAGGGCATCCTTTTATACATATCAGCTTCATATAACATAAAAATATATAAATAAATAAATATAAAAATACATATATCTATATTAGGTTTAACCTCTGAAGATATATGTACTTAATTAATATAATGAAATAAAAAAGTAAATAAAAATAAATAAAAGAAAAAAGATATGCATACTTTATGGCCTTATGCTTCTAATTTGGTTACATTAATTCATAGTAATTTAATTAGTGATGTTTGGCAGCATGTCACATCATCAGGGGTCAGTATTATATCATACATGTATCTAACAGTCATCTGGAAATGTGTCTCAGACTTGCAGATCGTCAAGGTAGATCAGATACCTTCCAGGGTACTGGTTCTCAGGTGCAGTATGGGTCCCATGATACAATTAGGATTGTTACATTCTTTCCTTCTTAGAATTCGACATTCTCGTCGATTCAAATTCTTGGAGTTTTTCTTGAGCATTGGTTAGATTTTCTTGGGGTTCCCAAGTGATGTCATGCAAGAAGTATCCAGTCCATTTAACGAGGTATTGAGGCTTGTTTCAGACAATTCACTTGTCCAAGATAGTTTTTACTTCATATTCTTCTGTCCTGGTTGCAGGGATATAAGTGACTGGTAGTGACGTGGTTTTTCAAATTCCTCTGGTAATGGCTTGTATAGTTTGAGCAATGAGACATGAAACATAGGATGGATCTTTAGGGTGACAGACAGCTCCAACTTATAGGCAGTTTCAAAAATAACCTTGATGATAGTATATGGTCTGGCAAACCTTGGTGTCAACTTCTTTGTAGGGTGGTTCCAGTTTATAAAACTGTTGAAGTTCTATAAGAAAAGTAACACTCGGTCTCCTTTTTTAAACATCAGGTGGTATCGATGTTGATTGGCATATTTCATTTAACAATCTTATGCTTCCATTAGGATATCTTTAGTAATCTTTATCATGGTGTTCCAATGATATATAAAGTCATTGATGGTCAGCATGGATGATGATGTCACAAGTGTCAAGGGCATCTTGGAATGTTATTTGCAGTCTAACTCGAAAGGTGTAAAACCTGTTGATACTTGTTTGGCATTGTTATATATGAACTCAGTAATAGGTAAGTATTCGTCCCATTGGTCTTGCTTGTAGATGGCGTATATGCGTAACATCTTTTCCAGAATCCTGTTGAGACATTCTGTCTGTTTATCTGTTTGGGATGGAATGCTGTCGACATGGCAGTTTTTGTATCCAGTTGTTGAAACAGGACTTGCCAAAAATAGCTAGTAAATCAGACATCTCTATCCAATACAATGGCTCTGGATAATTCATAGTGCTTGAAAATTTCAAAGAAAAAAATCTTGGCAACTTCTGATGCAGTGGCAGAGGTATGCATTAGGCAAAAGTGGGCTCTCTTGGATAGGCAATTGACAAATACAACAATAGTGTCATGTCCCTTCTTGATGAAAGATAGTTGGATAATAAAATCCATGATAACTTCTTTCCATTTGTGCTTTGACGTTGGCAAGGGTTGTAATAGTCTGGCAGGCTACTAATTACTAGATTTGTTTTGCTAGCATAGGTCACATTTAGTACATATTTTTGTATATCCTTATTCATCTTGGGCCAATAATAACTTTTCATTATGGTATCCAGAATCTTGTTTATCTCCAGGTGTCTGGCAATGTCAATATTATGGTGTTCTCTAAGGATGTGACTTCTTAACGTCTTATTCTTGGAAATGGCTAGATGATAGTCTTTCTTCAGGTAGATATGATTAGTATCCAGTTTAAAATATTTAACGTAAGCTTTGTCTTTCTCTGTTGCTTGGGTTGGGTCTCTAAGAGTTGTTATGATTTTGGAAAAATATTCGTCACTAGTATATTCTTCCTCAAAGGTTTTATTGTCTGTTAGTTTGGTGGCAAGTGTAAAGATAATGGCAAGGTGTGACTGTCTAAAGAGGTCATCTACTATAACATTGGTCTTTCCTGGTCAGTATATAACCTTGAAATCATTGGCTTAAAGGATTTCCAACTATCTGACTTGTCGTCTAGACAGATTTGATTGGGTCTTGATATATTCCAAAGAGGCATGGTTGGTAATGACAGTGAAATATTGTCCTTCCAAATATATGCACCAGAGTCTAATAGCATGCACTATGGCTAACAACTTCTTCTCGTGCACAAGGTAATTTTGTTCAGCTGGTGACAACTTCCTGAATTCATATGCGACTGGTTATTTTCCTTTTCCATGATCTTGAGTCAACACAGCTCCAATGGTAAAGTTAGAGGCATCTGTGATGACAGTAAAGGGTTTATTTAGATCAGGCAAGAGTAAAACCAGGACTGTGGTAAGGGCTTCTTTAAGTTTTTCAAATACTTCTTGTTCGGCTGTATTTTACACAAATTCTTTATCCTTGTGTAGGAGGATGGTGAAAGGGATGGCAAGAGCAGTGAATCCTTGTACAAACTTTCTATAATAACTTGCTAATCCTAAAAAGGATCTAACTTTTGACATATTGGTAGGTACCAGCCAATTCTGAATGGTGGTAATCTTTCAGGGATCTATAGTGATTCCTTTGATAGAAATGTAGTGCCCAGTATATTCAACTTTTGAACACAGCAATTCACACTTCTTGGCCTTGGCATATAATTAATGTTGTCACAGGGTGGTTAAAATGATCTTCAGGTGTTGCAGGTGGTCTTCTTTGGTTTTGCTGTAGATCAAAATATCATCCAGGTACATGATGACAAAATTATCTAGGTATTTCTGGAAAATATCATTCATCAGTATTATAAATGTTGTGGAAGCATTAATCAATCCAAAAGGCTACACAAGAAATGCATAGTAGCTGTATCTGGTTCTGAAAGTGGTCTTTGATATATCCTCTTCTTTGATACAAATTTGATGATATCCAGAGTACAGGTCGATCTTGTTAAAGTATTTGGCTCCAGCCAACCAATCCATGAGTTCTTCAATCCGGGGTAGAGGGTACCGATTCTTGATGGTAATCTTGTTAAAGGTATAGTAGTCAATATATAGTTTTAACGTTCCTTCTTTCTTGTATACAAAAAGTATAGGGACACCAAAAGGGAAATACTTGATCTAATGAATCCTTTTTCTGATAGCTCAGTCAACTGTTTCTTGAGTTCATCTATTTCCACATAGGATAACCAGTAAGTAGATCTTGATGGTGATTCAGTTCTTAGCAATAGTGTTAGCATAAAAATTGTAGTAGGGGGTATAACATGACATGTGGGGCCCAGCACGTTACTGTATGGAACATTGATTATGCATCAATCAGGTATGATTGATAGGTGCAAAGCTTGTCAAAGTTTAGCAATTCTGTATAACATAATGATAGATTTAGAGACATGTCATAGTCATATAAATAATAATAATGTCCAAATGTAAAAAGTATCAGAGAGAATAAATTAACAAAATACTATTTACTAAAAAGCCAAGTGTTTGTACCTGTGCAATGATAATTAATAAACTTACCTTATTTGTCTTTAGTCACCTTAAGAAGAATCCTGGGCCTTGTAGTTCAAGAAGGAAAGGATTAAAGGAGAAGACTAGCCAAATGTAAGGGAAGATTAGAATAATTATCACCATATATACCTTTGATATTACTAGTGACATAGATCCACTGATCCAACGTAATACAAGTCTTAGTCTGGACTAGTGACAGACTCGCCATTGAGCCCAACAATAGATCTATGACATGGTCAATTTTTCTTTTGGGTGGCTGTTTGTTAGGCAGTTCTGATAAAAAAACATCAACAAATTCCTTGATAATCACAGTTTCTTCTGAAGAGGGTTTGGTTTCTTTTGGGTTTCATCATCAAAGGTGGCATATATGATGTACAGCTCTTCATTGGAAAATATTCTAGCAAGTTGGTGTCTGGAGATAAAAATAGAATTACATGTGAGGTTCTTGTTGGCTTGGTTGATACTAATATTGACAATAATGTGGCATGGTCCATTTGGAAAAGATAAGATGTTGGCTCTTCAGTTAATATTGGGATTGACTTGGAACAACCAAGGCTTTCCTAAAATGGTATTGTATCATTGCAGGTTCAAAACTTGAGCAAAGATCCCAGAGGTGTGATATTGGTCCAACTCCAACTTCTTGATTTTTACTTCAGTAGAAACTTCTTTCTTTTAGCTATTGGCCAGTTCCACAGTAAAGGGTTTTGTTGATTCTTTTGGCAATTGTCATTGGTTAGCAAATTTCTTATCAATAAAATTCTTGGAGATCCTACTATCCAGTAGGATCCAGGTGGAGTATCCATTAATCTTCCTATTAAAACGGAGTAGCTGTTCTCAGTTTTCTTTAATGTGGATAAACTTGGTATCTGGGAAAGTGGATTGTTCTTCTATTACAATAACTTTGGCTTTGGTTTCAGTTTATTTGGATTGGCAGTCTTGGGCATAGTGGCCCATCTTTTCATAATTGTAGTATTTCACTTGTTTCTTCTGATGCTGACTACTGATTGATAGTTTTCTATAGATCTCGGTGCGGTCTAATTCCATTGGGATTGGTTTGAATTGTTGGTCTCTTCCTTGGGGCTGGTATCCTTGAGTGGTAAATTTTCCCATCGATTGTTCCAGGCCAAATATAACAGTATCATATCAGCTCGCAATTTGAATGGCTTTATTGAGGGTTTCTGGAAACTTGTAACTTACTTCCATTCTGGTCGCAGGCTTCAATCCTTTTACAAAATAGGCAATTTGGTCTAATTGATGCATATCATCAATTTGGCTTATCAGGTTCCTAAATTGGGAGATATATTCTTGTATGGTTTCTGTTTGGAGCAGGGTTTTAAGTTAATGACACAGATGTTGTTGATAGTGTAGGGTTGGAAGGTGGTTCAGAATTCTTTCTTGAATTGGTCCTATCCAGTAAAAGCGGCAGTAACAGAATCCTTGACTTTGTTGACAAACCAATAGAGGGTGGTATAGTGAACCATTTGTTCATCTTTTTTGACTCCTTGTGTGTATAAAATATTCTTTGTTTGGTACAGCCAGACTTCCACATTTTCTTCAGGTTCTCCTCTAAATATAGGGATTCTCAAAGATATTCTAGATACAGCAGTGGTAGCAGTCAAAGAACTTGATCCAGCGGGCTGTTTTCCTTCTCTATTGCAAGGGCTCTCATGATTTTTTTAAAGATCTTCATAAACATTGCAAATTGGATGGCATCCATTTTGGCAGAGTTTCACTTGGGGTTTCTTTACAAGGGAGAAGTTCTTTGAATCCATTGTTATCAAGTTGTAAAAGTCTTGAATAAATTATTAGTAATTTAAAAAAACAGTGAACTTGAGCAATTATAATTTTAACGTCAACAGAGTTGGAACTTTATTAAGGTCAAAAGGACATTCTTTTATACATGTCAGCTTCATA